TCCTTCTCTTTTTAATGAGTTTTGTAGGACAATGCAGAAAAAACTGCTGGATAAGAATATGATGAAATATCACTCTGACTTAGTGACAAGATAAATACAAATATCCTGGGTCTACTGGTTTTTGTAATGTTGAATGTAAATGGTGACAATGTTAGCTTCTGAACTACTGAAAAATTATTTCTGTTTTTCTATTTTTTAAAGTGTAGCATACATGGCATGAAAAATCACCACTGGAAATTGTAATGTGGCTTTCTCTCAATGGGTCTTTATACTGAACTTTAATCTAAACATTTACAATTTACCTTTATGTGGAATAAAAGAGGGTATTTTCACATCTGTACACATTTTCTCATTACAAGCGTCAAAACCATTAATTTTTAAACAGTATTCCTACCTCTTATAATGCGGATATCATTTTAAGTAATCATTTAAGTCTCCCTTTGTCCATGGATCAAAAAAACAATAAGAAATATGTGATTTCTGAAATATTGTGCTCCAATTACCACAAGGGTGACCTTAAAGGAACAGCCCAAATGTAGATCTTTATAATAAGATAGATTAGATATATTTATACCTAGTTCTCCTTCTTATCCCTGAAGTAGAATCTACATCTTTAGCCATCACCTACCAAGTCTTGTAAAAGATGTTTTAGACCTGGTAGAAAACAGTTAGCTCTATGAGTTTATGTGGGTACAGAGTAAAATGAGGCTTTTGAAGTAAACCTTTAGATTTTATCAATGTTCACATTTAGTTCCAGCTCAGATGCCTAAGTTAAAATTTACCTTGTGAATTTGTGCCAAGCAAATGGGTTTGACATCCAGAGTGCCTGTCATTTTTAAATGAATGTTACATTTTTTCTGCATCTTGACTCTTTCATCAATTTAAAGAACCCCTATGAAAATATCTTCTCCATCGCTCTCTTTTATTACCAGGATGAATTTATTTTCATTTTCAGTTATGCAGTTATCTAATTTAGCTCTGTAAAAATATTCACTTTTTTAAAAATACAATTTAAGACTAGCATAAGTGTCCTTATATGCTATTCTTCAGTATATTTGGTGTTTTAGTGCATACTTCACCCCATGACAAGAAGCAAATATCCTTAGTTCAATAGCTATTCCTGAGACTGAGAATTTCATTGACATATAATTTTTATATTGTTTTTATGACTGAATTTTTATCAATTTATTTAGTTTCCTCACTGCTAAACCTGTTTCTCTATTTTTTTCTCTGTTGCCTCTAATCAGGACATCTACATTTATACTATTTTGGGTAAGAGTGCATGTATAGTTACAGTTTAAGTTATGGGATTAAATTTAACTTTTCCTCCTTTTCTCTAAGATTAAAAGTAGAGAAGAATTTACTAACATCTGCTAAAGATCTAGATCCAGCTTGCCAAATTAAATGCTATGCCTCCACTGCATATGTCATACAATTTCAGATACTAACACCTTTATCAGATCGAAGCTTCCATAATTTGCAAGAATATTTTAGTTTGTTGAGAGCTATATTTTTACTAAGAAAATGTGATCTAATATAAAGGAATTTTTAAACTAAAAATTTACAAAATAAATTTTTAGTTTAAAAATTCCTTTATATTAGATGTTTTTCTTCTAGATATTTCTTACCCATATAGCTAGTTATTTTACTTTTCTAAAGTGTTTTCTATTAGTCTAAACTTAACTAAGTCCTTTTGAACTTACACTTGCAGAAGATCTCTTTTTCTTGGAAGGTCAATCACATCTTTATTAAATAAATATCAACAAGTATAAAGCCTTCATAAGAATATATAGTCTTGGATAGAGTTTTTGGGGTTTTTGACCCCTATGTGTTAGCACTACAATAGCTGAGTTTCCCTCCATTTTAGACTAGAATCATAGAATGATTTGGGTTGGAAGGGACCTTAAAGATCATTTAGCCCCAAACCCTCCCCTGTGGGCAGGGACATCCTTCACTAGATCATGTTGCTCAGAGTTCCACCAATCTAGCCTGAAACACTTCCAGGGATGGGACATCAGTAACTTTTGAGCAAGCTCTTCCACTGCCTTACTGTCCTCACAATGAAGAATTCCTTCCCAATACCTAATCTAAACCTACTCTCTTTTAGTTTAAACCCATTCCCCCCTTGTCATATCAGTAAATAGTCTTTTTCCACATTTTGCATTTATCATGGATGCAAAAGAATCTGATGAGTATTAAAATTTATCTTTTGCACAAAGATCTGCAGCCATAAAGAACGACTGGAATTGACAACTCTGCAAGAAGAGCTTAGCAGCATTGTTGCTATTACAGGCTAGTGGGCTAGTGCTTCAAGTAACACAATCGCCTAGCAAAAACAGACCCAAGGAATGGGAAAGTCAAAGATCAGTAATTCTAAGCTATGACCTGAACCAAAGCTTCATATAATGCAGAGAAAATTTGGAAGCATTTTTAGTGAAGTTTTTCAATATCTATATTACTAACCAAGGCTTCACGGATAGAAGAGACAGCTAGGCACCCGTAGTGTATCACTATGGTAACAGAAACCCTAAAAACAATGTAATGGCAGTAGATTTAGAGTCATTGAAGAATAAAAGAGCAAAATATAATGAACAGTATATGAGTAATACTATTGCATACAGTTGCTACAGCAAATTCTCTATTCTGCCTGAAGACAGCATGTTGCTTCACTTTGCAATTTAGGGTGAGAAGTTGCTGAGTTACTACATCTACACCAAAGATTTTGAAAATATTTGAAACTTTTGGGAAAATTCAGAAATTAAAGAACCATAGAATCCCCAGGGTTAGAAGAGACCTTTAAGATCACCAAGTCCAGCCATCAACCCAGCATTACCATGTTAACCCTTAAACTACTAAACCCTATCACCTCCTTGGGCAACCTAATCAAATGCCTCACAGTTATCACAGTGAATTCTTTTTCTAGTATCTAATTTGAATCTCCCCTGTCTCAATTTAAAGCCATTTCTTCTAGTCTTCTAACTTCAGACACAGACGAGGAGACCTCACTTCACCCTCCTGTCAAGCAGTTATAAAGAACAAAGAGGTCATCCCTCACTACACCCTCCTGTCAAGCAGTTACAGAGAACGATGAGGTCACCCCTGAGCCTTCTCTTCCTGAGCCTAAATAAACCCAGCTCCTTCAGCCATTCCTCTTAAGACATATTTTCTAGACCTTTCACAAAGCCTTGTTGCCATTCTTTGGACATAGTCCAGCACTTCAGGGCCCTTCTTCAAGTGAATGGCCCAGAACTGAGAACAGCACTCAAGGCAGGCCTCACCAGGGCTGAGTACGGGGGTGATGTCGCTTCCATGCTCCCAGTGGACACAAAATTCTTGATACAGGCCAAGACACCACTAGACTTTATGGCCACCTGGGCACACTGCTGGCTTATATTCAGCTGTCCTATATTCAACCCTCAGCCAGCACTCCCACTTCTGAGCAGCTCTCAAACCACTCTGTCCCCATTCCATAGAGCAGCAAGGGATTACTATGACCCAGGGCAGGACCTGGTACTTGGCCTTGTTGAATCTCATTAAGTTGTCATTGGCCCATTGATTAATTCTTTCCATATACCTCTGTAGAGCCTTGGAGCAGAATGACACTCCCAAACAACTTGGGTGATTCCTCCTACTGTAAAGACATCTAAAACATGTCAGAGGCCCATTCTTGCTACATAGACCATTTTCCTGGAATGACTATAAGGGAAACCTGTACCATTTCTAGAATGTGTGTTTCTGGAGCATGATAACTGTGAATGATACAAACCTCTTCTGAAGTAGCTATGTGAAATTAAATGAAAGATGTTCTCTCTAATTTGCTGAGTAGGTTTTTTGTTGTTTCATTGTTTTTTTGGTGTGGGTTGTTTTTTGTTTCTTTTGTGAGTTTTGGGGGTTTTTCACTGTTTTTGATTGGTTGGCTGATTGTGTGGGTTTTTTTTGTTTGGCAGTTTTTTGGTCTCGGTTTTGCATTGACTAATGACCTATTCCAGAACAATTCTATTAATTACTGGTTTTTCTTATCCATCTCTTTTTATGTTAAATTTCAACCTTTGACTTCTTTATATTTCAATATTTTTTATTAAATAAGATTTCAGACACTGTGTAGCAAATATCATTCTGCTAATTAACTTGTTAGATCCTTTTGAGGATCTTTAAAATTTCTTTTGAACTGGCAGGAATGCCCTAGCAGCAAATTGGAATTTTGGACTTAAAGGAATAAATGTTTTGGCCAAAGAGCATGTAATATGGAGGAAAAAAAAAAACAACAAAGAAAATAAAATTCTTGTTTTTCAGAATTGAAGAAATTTCAGAAATTTTATTTGTTTTGTGATTATTATATAGTTATTGTTATAAACGTATAGACATAAAATAAGCCAGAGGAAACAAACTCTTGGAGCCTCTAAAAGGCAGTCAGTAGAGGGAGCCATGTTCATATGCAGTTTATTACATGCCACTGCAAAGCTTTCTAAAATAACCCAGCTGATGAACAAATGAGATTTTTTTTATTTGCTGCAGTACCCTTACATAGAAAGAGAATGTAATATGAAAAAAAAATCAGACTCTTTCCTGACTATGTTAGTAAAGTGAAGGATCACAGTGATAACAACATTAGGGTGCAGCTGCAACCTTAGATTTGCTGTATTCTATGATTTTTAGATTTACCAAGGGATTTAAGTACTTAATATTAACCTCCTGTGCATTTTAGTGTGCAGATTCCAAAAAACACAAGGAGAGGAAAAACCTGCTGTACCAATGCTTATCCCTGTCAATAGCTTGGCAGCTGCTTTCATGTTCAGCTTTAAAGTTTCTGAGTACTTTTTTTAGTAAGTAAGAACTGAGTGGTTTAGGGATTGCCTTCTCAGTAATCAGTGACTGGTGAGGGTTTTTTTTTGTTGTTTTTTTGTTGTTTTTTTGTTGGTTTTTTTTTTTTTTTTGGGTTTTTTTTTCTGAAAGTATGACTAGAGAGCCCTTAGGTATTCTCACTGCTGAAATATTTATACCACAGGAAGACTGAATTCCCAGTGAAATGCAGTTGCAGCCATTTTCTTTGAAAACACAGCTGGAGCCCTTTCATGGGGATAATGAAGGTGAGTTCTTCACACTGAGAGGAACATTGAAATGGGGATTTGAGGTCTCACACAATGGGTAAAGAAGGGGAAAGGGAACGCAGCAGCTATAGTACATGTAGTAATAAATATCGTTCTTGCACAAACCCTTTTTCATTTTGACAGAGAGAAGTAAGGCACTGCTCATTAGCTATTACTGTGTGAAAGGACTCAGCCCACTGCCAAGAACCCCTGCCATGCCACTCTACTGTGAGGCATAGTGTAAGAATTACAGCTTTCAGGTTCTCTACGCTGACTGAGGTATGATTTATGATGCTGAGTTGCTCTTCAACACTAAGAATAAGGAAATTGTGTATAAAAGGGTGGTGCACTTTTAAGATCTGTTGATGCTGTCACTAATACAGATGTATGAGGAAAGTGCAGCAGTGTTTAGGAGCCAGAGAAAAGTGACTTAGAAGAAAAATTTTTCAGAAACTGAACTTTATTCCTAGGGAATTACAGTGAACTTGTGCTTTAACTATGCACATATATACACATAGAGGTATACTCATCTGTGGGAACTACTCCATGGTTAGTTTTTTGTTCAGATCTGTGGAGATAAGGTTCCTCTATGTTAAAGATTTATGGGAAAAATTTAAAAAAAACAAACCCTAAACAAGAACAAGACTGCTCTTCCCTCTCTTCTGTAAAAGCTATGGAAATTACAGCATTAGTAAAAAGCTATTGAAAATATGAAAATATCTCATGAAAATATCTAGTATCATAGGTTAAGCAGAAGTTAAAACTATAGATATGTAAATTCTATGTCACAGTTTATTTATAGTTTTGTTCCAGCATTTTTCTTCTTACAGTCATCACTATATGTCAAATCATATAACTTCAGCTCAGATTTTTTTCAGAAAGATCTACCTACCCTATTATTTTTTAAGATTCCCTTTCTTTTGTGGTTTTTAGCAGTTATCTTGTTTTGACCCTGTTCTGTTGAAATTGTTTGTCTAGTACTTCTATGGCATAAGCATGAATCTATGTGAAGTTCAACAATAAGGTACTTAATGGAAAAAATTATAGTATATTTCATTTGCTTTTCCTCTTTTGTGAGGGAACTTATGGATCCAGACCTGTCAATTTCTGATTCAGCATGGATCTAAGCATTGCAATTTCCAGGAAAGCAGCAAATTTCCTGTGGCCCATGATGTCATTGTAGGAGTGGCTATTGTATCTATACAGATACAGAACACATGATGTCATTGTAGGAGTGGCTATTGTATCTACACACATACAGAGCACTCCTATAATCAGCAGTATGAAGGGATTTATTCTAAGACAGAATACCAAATTAATAAATGTCTTGAATAAAATGGATTTTTTTAAAAGTATAAGGCATAAATGATGAAAGATTTTTCAAATTTCAGGGTAACTTATTACAGGAAATAATCTGCCTGTGTATTTTTCATACTACATAACACTGGAGATCACTCTTCTAGGAAACTTGCAGTAAACTTGCATAATATTTGCCCACTCTGTAATAGAGTTGTGCATTAAATTTTTATTTTAATAAAGTTACTCTTGATATTTGGAAGGTACAAAAACTCTTCCTATCTGTGCTGCAAATGTAAAGCCTATGACTAATAAGAGGATAATTTTTTTTAGACTAGGCTGGACAAGAATGCTTTGATTATAGACACGTTTTCACATTTTGTCTTAGACTCGTATATCATAACTGCACAATCTTCCCATTTTGAATTCTGGAACTGGAGCAGATGGCAGAGATGTATTTCAAATAATGGTACTTGACATATAATGTCTATAAATAGCTGCACAACTACAAGGTGTTATTTGTAATTTTTCTCTCTTGCGAATAAACTAGAAGTTCTCTGTCACTTCATGATAATTGTTCTTGAAATTCTTCACAAATGCATAATTTTTTGAAATTTTTATCTTAAGGTAAAATGACAAATATCAAAGCAGATGTTCCTTTGCATGTTACTGGATTCCCAAATGTCTCCACAGCCTAGTCATAGAATCAATTCCTGCCACATATTATGCACATATATATATAGATAGTAGTCATAGAGAAAAAATATGAGACATACATTCTCCACTTTTACAAAACATTTCTTAAATTTTTTTGTCAAGATAAAGGAGTCTATTAGAAGAATAAATTGATTTTCTACCTAAAACAACTACATAAATGATAAAATGTATTATGTATCTTACTAAGAGTGAGTTTATGTGTTAAATAATTTTCCCTTCAGCTCATTGATGCAAAGATTAAAAAAAAAAACCCAAAACTGGTACTTAAATTATACTGAAATGTCAGCTATGAAGGGAAGAGAGTTGTACACCATACCAAAAATAATGTTTTGGTTTTATGTCACTGGTGGGTGCTCTTTGAGAGAACAGTTAGTTCTTGTTTCAGGCAGAAGAAAAATGAAAAATGGTCTCAGACAGTTTATGGTAATATAAAATAAAAACTAATGCTTCACAATCTTAAGCCAATTTCCATATGTTGTATTCTGTTCCAGTACTGGTGTTGTCATGTTTTCAATCAAGGTTAATGCAAACAAAATAAAAACTTCAGAACTCAGCTACAACTTACGTAAAAACTCTTGCTGAAAACAAGTTAGAATGAACAGACTGTGTGATTTAAATGTTCTTTTAAATTTTTGGCAGCTTGAGATTTACTTTATATCCCATTTGCTCCTTATTCTTTTAGTTATAGTAAGCAGGTAATGCTTTCTTTGCTGTGAAAAATGCTGTTGTTGCCAGCTTTGTCATCTAAGCTTCATTTTTACAGTTCTAGTAGCATCAGTTTGTCAACATAAAAGCTAAAATATTCTGAACTCAATCAGCTTTCTCAGGTTTGCCTCTGGAGATGGCATTAAGGGGTTTGGATAACCTTATCTGTTCAATACTGAGGATGTTTCTGGCTTCTGCTAAGTGCTCTCTAGTGATTCCTTTCAAAACTTTTAATGGACAGCAATATGTCTGTCTGATCATATACATACTCTTTACCACATCATCCTAGAGACTTTTTAACACAGCTTGATAGTAGTGCTACCCTTTCAGCCAGTTTTACATGGACCAATAACAGTAGCATAACAGGGGAAAAAAGCCTCAGACATTTAATGTTACTCTTCATTTTGGTGTAGTTATTATTGGACGTTTTAGGAAGTATAGGCAAGTTGTGAAGTGGACTGCCTCCAGAAAAAAAAAAAAAATCAGACCAAAAAACAAACAAAAAGCCAAAAAACCCCAAGAAGCATGTCATGCAAAAAATCTCTTTCATATCCAGAAAGCTGAAAAACATTGTATTAATAAAGAAGTATGGTGTAGGGCTAGACTCACATTTGAACAACATCACTTATCTTGCACAGTTTTGAAGAATACAATTTAATATTTTATGAGATTATGTAGATTTGTATTGGGAAGGTTACTTGTATTAGGAAATACTATTTCTATTGTTGGATGCATATTGAATTATTTCAGTGAGGTGGAACAGCTCTGATTGTGTTACCAAAAAATACCCCAAACAATTTTTAAATGCAAATTCCAGTTACAATACACCATTTTTTTTAGTTCAGCAGACAGCATGCTATCTTTAGGATTTTAAATTAGTGCACAGACAGATTTGAGGCTAAATTTAATGCAATAACCTTTTCGTTTTATGTTTTTCGAAGCAAATGATAAGTTTTACCAGTGTTACAACTGTATTTTCTGTGATTGCACTGGTGGGACTCATTTAAATTAGAATGTTTTATCATCTATTTCTTCAGCAAAATCATACTCTAACATTTTGATATACATCTTTGGGAATGAAAAAATACGGGAAAAACTAGCATTCTACCTTTAGCACTATCTTTTCCTACTAATTTAATTTTATGATGGTGCCCTCTGCATTGAAAATGAATTTTTATTTTCTCTTGAGGTAATTCTTTACACTGACAACACAACAGAAGAGTTGGCCTGCTGTGATAGAACTGTAGCTACTCTTAGCTGATACAATGCCTCTGGTAGTGGCCTACTCTCCATTAAGGAAAATGTCTATTTCTGACATTAGCTCATTCGTAAGTTTAAAAACCTTGAATAGAAGACTACACTCAAGCTAACATAACTCCAGAACTTTCTTAGAGGGGTAAAAAATAGCAAATTTGAGCTTTAAAATGGCAATGGTGGGTTCAATCTCTCTCAGGAATGAACACCAAGCATGCAACAAATTGCAACTTTTTATTAATATTACATTGTTTGACAGTGCAGCACAGAAAGTGTGGGGATCTTCCTTGGAAGGAAGATATGCAGAGAAAAATTGATTTATTTACACAGGGGAAAAAAAAAAAGTAAAATGCTTCTGTGCGCAATCAGAGAACTAGTTTTGATTTTGTTCCCAGGCATTGTCAAATGCAAAAAACCATAAACAATGTAAGGAGTAGAGCCTTAGTTGAGTCTATTAAGTTATACACAGTAGGATTTATTTTTCTCATTTATTTTTCTATTTAAATATTCAAGGACTGCAAGGAGATTGATGCAGATGTTAGCACAGAGCATTTTGTTGGGATAATATGAAATGTGCAATGAAAACTATGAATAGTGACTTAAAATCTTGAACATGCTGATCCCACACAGATCAAGAAAGCAAAGAAACCACATGCAGTGGCCCATCTAATATTTTATGACTCAAACTGCTATTCAAGCATTTTTATGGAAATAGTTGGAAGATATTATCCTTACATTAGCTGACTCAAAGTTCTCATATTGGACTGCCGAGAAAATATTTTAAATAAGCTAGAAAAAGAACAAAAAACATCTTAAACCCTTAATCTTAAATATTTTTTAAGATGTTTTAGTTCTTAAAAGAACTAAAACATCTTAAAAAATAACAACAAAAAAACAAAAGCAAGACAAAACAAAAAACCCACCCCAAACCCACAAACCAAAAATTAAATGTAAGTGTATTTTCTGAATATGCTCTGGAAAAAAACAACCCTGTAAACATCCCTATAAACATCCCATTTGTGATAGAACTGTGGTGAAATAGAGTGGGAAGGGATTTTAAGGTATCAGCTAGTCTGTCTTTTAATGAAAGCAGAATCAAGTAAGTTTAAGGTAGGCATTTTTCTATGATTTTTTAAAAATATTTCTTTGCTACCTTTACAACATCCAAAACTATTAAAAAACATCATTAAGTGTTTTAATCATGTGACTCATTAAAAAAATTTTCTCAACTACTATCTATACTAACAAATTTTTGTCTCAGCTCAGTTCTTTACTCTTCTGTTTTGACTGAAGGGAAAGGTTACCTC